AACACGTATCTGTCGGGCTGGAAGTGCCCAGCGAGGAACGGCTTCTCCGCCTTCCCCCCGCTTTAACCCAAAACTAATATGTCTACCGCCGTAACTGACACACAACAGGCAATTTGCGTGTCAAGTGAGCCGTATATAAGCGGCAACTTCCGGAAAGACTTTTCAAAGTAAAACAAATTCTCCGTCTTCTTCATTATTTTTCCCGGTTGGCAAAACACGAAATTGGTACATTACCACCACCAACTGGTATGCAGTGTAGGTGCATTTTTTTTATAATTGTCTACATTATCAATCAACCTTTATTTATACAGGTAAATCCCATTGAGCCTCGAGGACTCATTTACAAGAGAGACCTGATTTCAACAAAGAAAGATGACAACAATGGACAACAGCAACAACAATAAGCAATTATAAAAACTCATACTACAGTTTTTTTTTTTTTTTTTTTTTTTTTAACAAATAGGATGGCTAAAAGGAAAAAGGTAACAAAACCAAAAAAACAGCTAGATTCCAAGACAAATGTATAAAACTAAAAACAGGAACATGTCAGCATTGGACCCTGCCAGGAGTCCAACAGATTCTTAAAGCCACTTAGAGAGGTCAAGGTCGAGAGCTTCAAATCTTTTTGTAAGATATTCCAGGAAACAGGAGCGGAGTAGGAGAAGGCCCTTTTGCCTAGTTCAGTCCTCACTGAGGGAACACTGCAGGTAATAATGTCCTGAGAGCGCACTCCGTAGCTGCACTCACGCAGAGACATGTAGGAGGAGATGTACGAAGGCAGCAGACCAAGAAGTGATTTAAAGATGAAAATGTACCAGTGAGAGAGTCTGCGTGAAGTTAATGATGTCCAGTTAACCAGTGAATACAGGGTGCAGTGGTGGGTACGATAATCACAGCCAGTTATGAATCTTAGTGCACCATGATAGACAGCATCCAACATCTGCAGGGTTCTTGTAGGAGCGTTCATGTAAATAATATCACCAAAATCAATTGAGGGAAGGAAAGTCACAGATACAAGGCGTTTTCTAGCATTCAGGGTTAGACAGGATCTGTTTCTGAAAAAGAAACCCAGTTTAATTTTCAGTTTCTTTACCAAGTTTTCCACATGGAGCTTAAAAGAAAGATGTGAGTCGACCAAGATACCCAAATATTTATAGGAATCAACAAACTCAATGGGGACACCATTTGAGGATAAAATCGGAGGAAGAACTGCTGGGACCAACTTCCTATTTGAAAAAAGCATCCCTTTGGTTTTTTCGGCATTTAGGACAAGTTTGAGGTGAAACAAATCAGTCTGGATGTAGTTAAATGCAGATTTCAGAAGCTGGAAAGCCTTAGCAACAGTTTTAGCTCGACAATAAACAACTGTGTCATCAGCATAGAAATGTATGGATGCATTAGGGATGTTTTTACCTACATTATGTATGTAGATTGTAAAGAGGGTGGGTCCTAAGACTGAGCCTTGTGGTACACCATTGTTGACTGTTAAATAACTGGAGGAAGTACCATTATGTTGAACACATTGCCTCCGGTCTGAAAGATAGTTAGAGAACCAACCAATGGTGTGATCTGAGAAACCGATTTCTGAGAGTTTATGACACAAGATGTTATGATCCACAGTGTCAAAAGCTTTAGACAGGTCTAAGAAAAGTGCAGCACAATAATCCTTAGCATCCAGTGCTTCAACAACGTCGTTAAGAACCTTCAGTGAAGCAGTGGTTGTGCTGTGTTGTTTCCTGAAACCAGATTGATGTGGAGGTAAGATGTTAAATGAGTCCAGGTAATTTTTGATTTGAGAGTTTATCAGTTTTTCTAGAACCTTGGCTTATCTTGTTCATAATTGATTGATGACAATCAATTCATCAGTGTGGCAGATGTAGATAATCACAAAACCAGCTAAACTAGAGAAACACGGAAATGGCCACTGACGAGGTGAGATTTTGGCAGCCATCTTGAAAAGACCGTATACCTGTCGATGTCAAAAGTGCCGGTTTGAAACTTGATTTTTTTATTGGTTAATTACCACATGTTCTAGACTTTAGCTTTTTTTTTTCAACTTTAACAATTAAGAATATCTAATGATTTTTAACATTTATTGATTTTTTTTACATTTTAAGACAAAAAAAGACAAGATTCTTGTAAAGAAGGCAAAAATAATGTAGTTTTTGCCCACTTTCTAAAAACAAAAGCAATAAACTTTGCAGGCCTATGTGATTTTTTTTTATTTTTTTTATTTTTACTGTAGAAAAATTAAGTGTTCTACTTCGAAGAAATAAAGCTTAAAGTGAAAGTGAGTACATATTCCTTGTAACGTTTCTAATATTCACATATTTGCAAAATAAATTACAGGAAAACTGCTAAAACTAGCCCTATTAGTTGTTGTTATAACAACCAATAAATTCAGTTTTGTGTTAGTTTTGGTCAAAGCTTGAAAGAGCTGCTGCAGAGGGACCAAAAAGCGCACGTGAGCTGCAGATTGCAGACCCCTGGTCTAAAATGATGTCAGTTGGTATTCCAGCCCTATATATAAATATATATATATTTAAATTAAAGGCATGCTTAAGCCTTACACTGATGCTAAACATTAAACGGAGGGAGTTCCCGGTTTTATGGGAGCCGGTAGAGAAAAATAGTTAATTTCAAAGGACATTTAGTGTTATAAGACAAATAAACAAACAAAAAAACAATAATAAAACATACTGTGCTTATTAGTAAGTTATTCTATTCAAAGGTGGGTAGCTATGTACTTTACATGTCTGCCAAACTAGAGCTCTGCTATTCACTTACACTAATAACTTAAAGGGAATACAAACTTTATTATATTACAATTTTTTTATAGCAACAATGGTAATGACAACCAATAAAGTTAAGTCAGGTTTCTGGACGGTTTCGTCTTTCATCCAAAAGACTTCATTGGTCCAAAGCGCCACAACAAACAAGAAGGTCCTATTTATAAGACTGAGTTTATTGCAGCTCTTCAGACTGATGAAGTCTCTTGGATTAAAGACGAAACGTTTCAACTAAAAGAAACCGTCCAGAGGACCTGACTTAACTTTGTTGGAGCATTAATCATAATGAAAATTTTATTACAAATTTTCATGTTGCTTTTTACCTGTTTTGCAGTCTAATAAAACTTCAAACTGTTTATCTTTTAAAAACAATAGTCGTAAAAGAAAAACATTAAAACTACGTCGAAAGATGAAATAAATAAATGAAAAAATGAAAGTGAATTAAAAAAAAAAAAGAATGATAAAAATAAATATAACCGATTGGCTCCCTTTTTTTCCCCGGCACAACAATGGTCGTCTTTCCGTTGCCTAGCAACGAGCAACGTGATACGGGCAGTCACGTGACAGCGAAGGAATGTGGTGTAGGTGGAGAAGTCGCACCATTCATACAAAATGGAATAAATTATATTTTGCGATGCACGATATTATCGGCATGGTATTAGTATCAGCCGATATTAGCGATAAAGTTAAATATCGGACATCGGCCATTCCATTAAAAATACCTCACCGATATAAAAGGTGCTGTTTTAAGTTAATATTTAGTTTAAGAAACTGTCAGTAATGCACAAATACTTATGAGCGTTTCACTTGTCGCTTGTGAACAGGTTGAGTTTAAATTTGTGAAAATTGACAAATTTGCACTGTTCCAGTGTTGTCATTGTGTTAGAGAGAGTAAATGTCATGAATACATTTGACATTAAACATAATCCAAGTTGAAGTGTTACATCATTTTCATCCCCCTTTTTGGAATCTGTATTTCAAAGTCACAGCCAGAGTTTCTTTATTTGTCAGATTGTGTATGCAGGGTCCCAGTTACATCCAACAATAAAATGTAAAAGAAAAACAGCAATAAGATCTAAGATATGAACTAAGAAAAACGTTAACAAAAAATACACAAAGCACTAATAGCATAAAAACAATACGCCAAACAGCAGCACGAACATGAGTCTGTGTAGCAGGCCAAACTGACAAAGGCCATGCAGAATAATATAGTATTTTAATTCCACAGCAGAGAAAGCTATGTAGTCTCTGTAAGTCTAGAAAATAAAATATTGGTATTGGTATCGGTTATCGGCCAAATAAGTTTTAACATATTGGCATATCATATATCAGCCAAAAATCCAATATTGTGTATCCCTAAAATTATACGATTATAGATGTAAGCTCACAATATGAATCAATTAAGACTATGGACCAATAGATGTTGTACAGATATCAACTTTTATAATCCATGTGAATTAAAATAAAGTGTATTAGATCATGTTGGGGGTTCACTGAAAGACTTCGTAATATAGTATGAAGCAGTACTTGGTTTGACATTTGTTTCCAACACTTTAAGTACAGTACTGTACTCTACAGTAGGCAGTGACCACTACCCTATAATGGACAGGATTAGTGTAAAGATGAGCTATAAAAGGACAAAGAAAACAGAAATAAAAAACATTTGGAAAATCCAAATATATTAAAGGAACAGGAGATAATTGGAGGTCGTATACCTCTGACGATATCTGAATTGAAAAGGGCTTGTCACACCACACCTGGGAAGGATGGCGTGTGCTATAAAATGTTGGCACACATGATTGGCGACTGTTTAAAAATGTACATGATTTGGGGAAAAGGTCAACTTCCATCAAATGGAAACAAGCAACGTGCCTATCCTAAAATCAGGGAAAGACCCTTCAGATCTGTTTAGTTGTAGACCAAGAACACTGACTTCCTATCTATGTAAAATGATGGAACGAATGGTCACAGTGAGACCAAGAGGCCTTTAGTCACTGTATCAAATGGGTTTTGAAGGGGTCCTTGAAAAGAAGAAACATTAAAATAATACTGACACACTGGGTCAATCTGTAGGGAGATGATGGAAATCATCAAACCCGAAATATTTTAACAGATTGTCGGGAACATCATGAAACAAACGTCATAAACTTTGGATTAAACGTCAAGAATGAGTAAATTTTTTTAAGTGTCATTCCAGTTTAGACTTCGGGGGGCGGTAATGCACCAAACATGGTCTTCCAACCGCCAAAAAAACGTAGAAGAAGAAAACGAACAGACGAAGAAGAAGAAAAAGGAAAAAAAAAATAATAATAAGAAAGCTTCATGTCACCTGCCGTCGTGCAGAAGCTATATGAGATGCGAGAGGGCTTCCACAGAGAAATAAGAGGTGTGTCATCTTAAAACCCGACCCCACCGAACTTTTCTCTGTATTAACGTTAGCTTAGCCTAGCATAGCCGCGTCACCCTGCTGTCATAACAAACAGCACGAGCCCTGAAGCATGCTCAGTAATCCAGGCTGAGTCAGGTCCAAGGCTAAAAGACGAAACGTTTTAACAAAGAAGAACCAGTAAGTAAGTAAACTTTATTTATATAGCACTTTTCGTAGATAAAATCACAAAGTGCTTTACAGAAATACAGAATAAAGGCTTAAAATAAAACAATAATAACAACAGCTGATTAAAAAAAAACAGTAAGAACAACTGATAAAAACAGAAAGTAAAACATTTACCTAAAAGCTTGTCTGAATAAAAGTGTATTAAAGGAACCAACAGAGGCGGCCACACGAAGAGACAGGGCCAGGGCATTCCAGTCTGGGGGCTACGGCTTGAAAGGAAAGGTCACCCCGAGTCTGAAACTGGTTCAGCGCTGAAGACCAAAGGGTGCGGGCTGAAGAAGTCAACATTTCAGTGATGTATTGAAGGGCCTGGCCTTTTAAAGCTCTAAAAGTTAAGACTAAAGTTTTTAAATTACTTATAAATTCGACAGTTAGCCAATGAAGAGAAGATAAAACCGGTGCAATGTGAGACCTTCTGTTAAAATCCTTGCAGCAGCATTCTATATTATTGAAACATTATATTATTATAGCATTTACAGTCCAGTGGACTATAAACCTGGTTAGAAACATGAGGCATCTTTCCTCAATTCATTTTCTATTCAACTTTGTATTGCAAATAAAACTTAGCTTAATCAACATAGACCCAATCTTAAACATGACCGTCCTTCACTAAAGTTAAAACTGATCTTTTTTTTTTTAATTGTTTTATTATTAGGCTCCACGTGGGAAAGCAAACATGAATGTAAATATGACAGAAATTGAAATAAATTAATATAATTTACAGCAGTCTAAGGAAAATTGCCCTTTTCTTTCTGTCTCCTGTTCAAATCTTAAAAAGTTTGTGGTCATCAGTTTTGACTAAAGAGCAAAAGCTGTGCTCTTATCTCAACTTTGGACACTCGTCTTTTTATAAACATGGAATCAAAAAGTTAATGTAAGACAATCGCTCTTATTCTGAATTATGAAATTGAAGTGTGTGTTGCGTTTTTTTTTTAGACAAGCTGGTAAACAAAACCAATCCTGCTGGCAGTCTCCGTCGTTGCCAAGCTGGAAGACAAGACAAAGCATCAAGATGAAATTTGTTTGCGATATTTATTCCACTCCTGAGTTCGATGGCCAGGACACAAGGGGATAAAGTAATGGACACAAAAGTTAAAATACACGGAGACGCTTCAGTCAGCTGACAAGCAACAAGATTTGCTGAAATTGAAGTTATTGCATGACTTGAACCCCAGGAAAGATGAGCATGTGAAGAAATTTGTTTTCCTTGGTTTGTCACGAGTGCAAGAATTTTGACTTTTTGTCTGTGTCAGAGTTATTCAGGCTGCAGGAAATGGTGTAAAAGTTGAAAATGATGATAAAATTGAACACAGACAACTCTGTGTTGTCTATCCATCTTTCCATTATGTAATATAATAGTCAGTTTTGTGCACCATCTCTATTCACTGGTCTTCCAAAATGGAAATTAAAATAAAAAAACTTTATTGAACAAAATGTACAAAACAAACAAGTATAGTAATTTACAAACAGCAGAGACAAGACATGCATGTGACCAGAGTCCATTATAAAACGAGTACAAATAATACAAGATAATCATATACTATTTAAGAACAGACTGGAAAGAAAAGGATAAAGACTAATAAAACAGAAAATGAAAATAAAATTAAAATTTAGTCAAAGGATTCAGGAAAATATAATTTGTAATTGGAAAAAAACAGACGAGCTTTTTTTAAATTATTAATCAGTTTAAGGGAATCAATCAGATAGTTTAGTTCTGACTGAAAATGAATAAAATTTGGTATCGAATTTGCACATTTTTGCATATAAAATTGAGTATATGTTCAAATTTACAAATTTCAGAGTTACTGTAATAGCAGATCATATTTTGGAGATTTAATGAGCATGCAATTTTAGTCGATCGAAAAATATAAGATTCAAGGTCACTCCAAAATTTTTTGGATATGTCACAACTAAAAAATAAATGTGACGACGTTTCTATTTTTTCTACAAAAAGTACAAGAGTCATTAATATCTGTGAATTTGGCAATAATATAGTTCACGGTATATATATATATATATATATATATATATATATATATATATATATATATATATATATATATTATGTAAAATTTTAAAGTGTACTTCTTTGGCTTTATTATAGAGACAGAACTTGTGGGGTAAGAGCCAGGCCCTTCTCCAATTTATGTCGTCAGTTTGAACTCTCCAATAAAATTCACCTCTGAGTATCGCATATTTTTTCCTTATGAAAGCACTGTGTCTATTGTTACATTTTTTATCTGTTAGTTAAATTCCTTCCAGTGTGAGCGTGGGTAGAGTGTTTCGTAAATTCACTGCAACACATACGACTTTTAACAAGCTGAATTAATTATTTGGGAATAGCTTTGGTTATCATATTAAATTATCAGAAAGGAGTAGGAAAACCATGGACAGACATAAAGTTTTCATACGAGAACATATTGCCATTATCATCAGAAAGACTAAGGATGTGGTTGATGTCTTTTTAGAACCAGTTAAGAAAAAAATGGATTTGCTCCTAATCAGACTATTGCAGTTATTATTATAGTTTCCAAGCTAGAAGGACCTGCTGATGAAATTTGGACAATTTGATGTGTAATTTGTTGTGTAAGAAGTTACATTTCAAAAGGAAAGACAGACCCATTCGATTAAATATATGGTTTGGTATGAAGAACCACAATGAATCAGGATTTACAAGGCATTTTTTAACCAGTTAACCTTGAAGGTTGTCAAAATAATCTAGGATTTCAAGACCACCTTTTGCTTTACTGTTTGAGAGAAACCCATTGCTTAAATGTGTGCGTCTTCTGAAATGGAGATTAGACCGTGCACACACAGGAAGTGACATCATCACGGGCCGGTCGGTAAAAACACAATGAAATGGCTTTAAAGCTACCAAAAGCCTCACGAGTGGAAGTTATAAACAAAATCTCAAAGCTTCAAGTTTCATTTTCCTTAAAGTTGCAGAATGTGGCTGATTATTATTATTATTATTATTATTATTATTATTATTATTATTATTATTATTATTATTATTATTAATCTGGGAATAGAATATGTTGTATAGATAAAATCTGGAGAAATCGCAGAACTTGATGTGCTCTTTAAAGGAAGTATTTAAAAAAAAAACGAGAAGTTAAATATTAACAAGCTTATTATTAGGTCATGATGCAACAGTAAAAGAAAGCTCTTTTTTTCATCTGTTTTTCCAAAAATCAAATGAGTCTAATTGGTTACTTGGACTCTGTGTTCAGCAGCGATGAACAGTGAAAACTTCACCCTCTGTGAGAAAACCGTCGCCCCCTCTTACATTCGACAGGGCTGTCAGGCGCGTCGGAGCCACGAGCAGCTCATCAGACGTTTACTGGAGCAGGTGGGGTCAACTCATGGTGTCCCGTCTCGTCAGTGTTTACACAGGCTGCCCTCTAACTTTGTTACTTTTCGCAGGGAAAGTGTCCAGAGGAAGGATGGAGCGAAAGCACCGTGGAGCTTTTCCTGAGCGAGCTGGCAGTGATGGACAGCAACAACTTCCTGGGAAACTGCGGCGTTGGAGAGAGGGAGGGCCGTGTGGCGTCCGACCTGGTGGCGAGACGACATTACAGGTTCGAGTTTTATCAAATTAGGTTGTTTTTTTTAGTTATATACACTCTTCATTTGTTTGCATTTGTCCTCTGCTGTCTCCATGCTGCAGAGAAATAAAGATTTTTATGCTCTGGTCTGTTAAAAGTTCAGATAATTTAAAGTGTGGCTTTGTAGAAAGGATATGAGCAGTTAGTATCTTACCTGTTGTGCATATCTTACTGGATAAATTGAGTTAATTTCTAACAAGCCTGATGAGCTCAGGTTCATGACTTGTCAGATTTTCATAAACTCTCTACTGGTTTCACATTACATGGATATTCTGCTTGTTATTCTGTGGCATATGCTGCAGCAGCAGCTAGCTGTAGCACTTGTGGTGCGATTCCGGGAGAATTATCAGAATATTTATGTGGAAATAATCGTTTAATGAGGAAGTGACAGCAATGAAAATGTGAGTAAAGGCTTTTAACTCTGATAAGAATTAAACTGTTTTTCAAACCCGGATTCAGTAAAAGACATTTTTACCACAAATACAATATTTATTGTTCCTGACATTTCTACACAACCACACTTATATAAATGTCTGAACTGTTCGTTTAGATTTTAGCACAAGTTTTTTGTTTTGTTTGGTTTGCATCACTATTTTTTTTAGCCCCTCTTCTTTTCACTGGTGAGTTGAAAATATGTATTTGTCATGTCCTAATTATACAGTTCAAACAAATACATTAATCATCCTACTGAAGCTTTCACCTTTTCACAAGGATCTGATTTTTATTTATATTTTTTGCTCGTGTGGATATTGAAACAAAAATACACATAGCCTTCTTCTTTTAGCTTTTAGACAGTGTTCTGCTATTTTTAGCATAAACCTAGC